CTCCTTGCATGGCATCTGACTGTCCAGCACTGGCTGTAATTGGGAGGAGCAGTTGCCAGTACTGCTTTAATTGTTTCACTTGTGCACAGTGATGAGTAGGGACTAAGTTATATTTATAGTTTTGGAAGTTATGATTTTGGGTAGTTGGGCATAGACACAACAGAGGTAATTTCTGCAAAACTTCAGCATACAGATGAAGTCCTCAGATCAGATATCTGGAGAGATTAAGGACATTTGTTGTAGCCTGTAGTGATGTATCTCCACTGTTTCACAGCAGAACTAGAAGCTTTTTATTAGACTGCAATGTTTTTAATGCTGAACAGACAATAGCTAAACTGATCCACTAAAAAAACCTTTCCTAGGCAATATCAATCAAGGCAGTGACAGGACTGTAATATAACCTTTTCTGCTCAGTGTAGAAATTATATCTTGCCTTACTTTTACACATTTCAGTGGAAGTTACGCTTGCAGCAGAATGCAGACTCTTTCTGTCTGCCAATTCTGAAACCTTTCCGTGAGGCTAAGCAGTTTGAGTCCTGAGAGAGGGAGACACTGGCTTGCTACCAGAGTAGTTTTATACAAGTACAATCACTGCATTCAGTTGCCTTATTGTCTGTGTGTGTGATAACTTCATTTGGTCTGAATTAAAGTTCAGAGTAGTTGAAATGTTTATTTTATCACTAGGTTTGTATAAAAATATCTGCTGGAAACCAAACTTTTTTTTTAGGGAAAAGAGCACTATGATTAGCTGCATATTTACTTACACCACAGTTTTCTTAGGAAAGAGAACTATTCTGTATTCTGCTTTCTTTCTTATTTCTCATTTATCTTACTTTTAAGGAAAATCAGAAATGTGTCTACATGAGGGTTGTTTTAAAGTCAGTGCATATGTCCATAGAAAATGCATATCTAGTTAGCAGGAATTATCCACTGGGGCCAGACTGCATAGATAGCTCTAATAATGTATTTGAAATAGGATTTTCTTACTACACTGAAAAAAATTCCTCAGACTCAAAGATAAATCAAAGGCAAGTGGCACCCTGGTGGACCAGACAGCCCGTTGGCAGCCCAGTCACATGAGAGCTCCAAGGTCACCACCCCAGCACCAGCAGAGCTGTTTGTAGAGCTCGCCGTGCAGTTTCACATCATGGCTGAACTGGAATAGCTAATGGTCTGGCACTCCAATCGCACACTGCCAGCCTCAGTCCTTACGTGAGCCTTCTGTCTGCTGCTTGGGAAGCTTCCTCTGAATTGTAAAACATGGGTGCACGTCCCTATGTTTAGCAAGCCTGAAAACTTTCTGTAGAACCAACATTAAAATATTGTTCTAACGGTGTTGATGTTACAGATAAGTGACTTTTATTGCAGAAAATGTACTTTCCTTACAGCAGATACTCTCAAGCAAGGAGGAAGTATTAGCCATAACACAATCCTTATTAGTTACGTGCTCTTTATTCCATATTACTATACAACCAGGGCCAATCCAGAATTTTCCTCAGAAGTCAGCATTTTTGGATCCTTAAGTGTTTTTGAGTGAAGTATCTGCTTTACACACATAGAATTAATATTTATATATATTTTAGGATGCTTTTTTTTCTTGTAGAGGAATGAAAATATATGTCAGATACTTGAACCCCTGCCCTACAGATTTCATTTTCTACCTATCCGTAATTTGGATGAAAAGTCACAATGGGGCTTTCTGAAGTTTTTGAATTGGTTCCTGTCACATCCTTGTTCTGCTGTAAGAAGTCTCCCTGGGCAGTCTGTGTCTCCAAGAAGCCACTGAGGCCAAAAAGATGGAGCTATGCCCTGTCCTCACTGTGAAAGGAGACTTTGGTGCATTGCATGAGATGTAGCTTGACAAGAATCTTCAATCTATAGAGAAAATCAGGAGCCGAGAAATACTTGAATAAAGCTCCCACGACTAAATAGGGCTCTGAGCACCTCACCTAATCTGCTTTGTGACCACTCCCCATGTGTAAGTTGACATACTTCCTTGTTTCACAAAGGCTTCACGGGGATAAAAATCTGTGAAAGTTATGAGATTCTCAGATACTGTGATAAGTCCCAGGATAAACAAATGTTGAATGCAAAACAGCAGCTTACATGGTACATATTCAAGGACATGTGGAATGAATTAGCAAGATGAAGAGACAGAGCAGAAGAAAGGGAATGAAGGAGCAGGAGGGAGAAAAGACAGTAACAGTGCAAGACAGGCAGCGTGACTGGGAGCTATGGGACAGCTATGGAGTGTCTTAGCACACCCTGAGTTCATGCTGCAGATGAACTTACACCTAAGGAAAACTGAGCAAACAGCTTACTAAACTATTTTTTTCCCATAAATCTCTTTTTTGCTTTTTCACAGAGTGGCCAATAACTCCCAGGAAGGGACCTCACTCTGTGTATCTAGAGCATGAGTAGGTGTGTTAAAGCTTAGTTTTATTTAATATTTCACCACAGTCTTATCCATGGGGGGCAATATGACAAGATTTAAAAATTAAATTTTCCATACTGTGCCCTATTTTCTCTGCCTGTAGCATGAGAGAGAAGAGCATATCTGGCTGCAAACACAGGCTCACGTGTAAATGAACAGGGAAAAAAGCTATACAGGCTTCCTTAGCTAACTTTTCCTAACTTTTTTAGGGGTGAGAGTGCTTATTATGAAATAAGTACCATATACTAGGAATAGATCAATGGATTATTTTCTGACAATGCAATAGAAGGGATTGAACACTCACTCATTAAAAAGTAAATCCTTTTTTTATAACTGCAGGTTAAGTGTGATCTAAAAGGAAAAGGAAATCTATTTAGCATGATAGAAAAAGTAATAAAATGTAGAGGAGAAAAGATACGTTGCTGTAGAGAAAGCTCCTAAGACGGTGATGTTCAGTGGCCAATAATCTACTAGAATGGGTGAGCATCCAACCTGTGCAAAAGGAAGTAAGCCTCAGCTAAGCTTTCCAAAAGAAACTTCAGTGATGCACTAAAAGTTGTCAAAATTGCCACTGCTAGTATCAATGACAAGACTCCATTCAACTGCAGTGAAACAAAAGTGACTGCAAAGTAGGCGTACTGATATTGCAGAAAGTCTTTTCTGCAGCAAATAACCAAATGGCATAATGTTAAATGGAGGATTGACACAGATCATTCTCATGATTTGCTGAGGAATGTCTCAACTTGGAGTTGCTGTGAGGTATCTAATGCTCCTGCCGTTAAAGGAACCCAGGCTGACTCAGAAGCAGAGAAATAGTTTTCTACTTCTGCTCTTTGCAGTTGTACATTTCCTACTGCAACCTATGGCTGTTGAGCTATTACCTGGATTAGGGACTTCTCTACATTTCATTTTGCAAATGCATTCACTGTGGGCACTTCCTCCCCACAAACCCCCAAATCTCATTGATAGTTAAGATCTCCAGAAAAAAAATACAATACAATAAATGCTGTTTAAAAGATGCTGTTTGCAGTTCTTCTGGACATCTCACTAGCAGGTCTAGGTATCTTTTAAAGCCTGATGATAAAAGCCTATGTGACACAAACTGTGTAGTATTTGCAGTCTGGTCTTCATGAAAAGGTGTATTTTAAGGTCCCATAGACAGAATCCTTTAATTAGAGTTCATGTTTTACTTTGAGAATTCTCTCCAACAGTCATCAAGCAAGGTAGATTCTGGAAGGCGAGATTCCATGTCCACTGAAAAAATCCTCTGATTTCAGCACACATCACACCCCATAGTAAAGCATTCTGCAACAGCCTTCCTTACACCTTGTATCTGAATGAAAGTGAAAACTAATGTGAGTGTCAGAGAAAAGCAGCTGAAAGTTCCCCAGATGGCACAGACCTGCTGAGCAACTGCTGAGGAAGGTGGCTGAGTACATTGAGGGGTTTGGGAGGAAAAATCCAGGCATTATTTGAATAAACATCTTAAAATAATGAAATGTATCAAATGTATGTACAAAGTGCAGGGTGCCAATGCTGGGATTTGATCACAGATAAATTACATAAGATGGGATTCTGGAATTTGTTGTCAAAATCCTTCAGTACAGAAACATACAGATCAAAAGTGGCACGAAGCATTTTCTCATTACATGGAGGAAGTAAGTGATATACTTTCTAATATTCTTTAAGCAGGTCTCAGTGTAAAAAGGAGATGATTTTACAGCATTAAGCTAACCTCACCACTAATTTTCCCCACATCTGCTTTGCATAGCGGTGCTAATTTAAGGATTTCCCCACCACCTCTTCCCTCCTACAGCCGGTCGTGAGAGATCACTGCCATCTACAGATTGGAGATAGTATCACTGGCACTGGATGGCGGAACGATTTCTACCTCATCTTTCTCTCTTTGCCCTTCCCACTTCTCTCCTCAGTCTCTCCTTATATTAAAAACAAACGAACTAATCCTACACACACAAAACAAAAACAACCCAACATAGCCTACTGCCTCTGTGGCACACGGATCCTAATCACCCTTATTAAAGGAAAAGTACCATACTTTGGGAATGTTGGAAACTGCAAATGTGTCAGTCAAATTATTTCTTAGTGTGCTGGTTGCCCATATATGTGGGTGTTGTCATCTCTTCTGATGTACATTGTGTCACCGAGTCCTTGAGAAGACTTTGCATCTGACATTGAGATACATTAGAATCACATATTAGGCAAATTAAAAGTCATCTACTGCGTGCATTAAGTGATTTGTCTGTTTGCATGCAATTTCTGGACAAAGTAAGATAATCGTTAGAGAGCAAAACTGAACCTAACAGGAGATGACTGATTGCCCACCAGTGTACCAATGTACCTGTGTGCAGGAAATTACTATTAACTATGACTTGAGAATTCAGGTCTGGAAAAGATCGCACGGCTGGAACAGCTAGGCAATAAAAGCCAAGGGTGAGTTAAATGAAGTAGTTATAACACAATCTGATGCTGCAGGGGATCTCAGCTACTGTCTGCCCAAATTTTCATCTTCACGCACTGTAGAAATGCTTCTTATTTGCTTCCCCAGATGCGAGAAATTCCCTGGCTTGTTTCCCCTGCTCTCTGTATATCCTCCTAGCAGCCAGAGAAGAGGTTTGCTTTGATTTGGGAGTCCATTACACCATGATAACAAGATTGCTTCAAGGAACATGTTCTGGTACGTACAACATGCTTTTACCTGTACTAGCAGCACTAACAGCAGTGAGCATATTGCTGGGGAAGTTCAAGCAATGAAAGCAGCAGCTATTCTTGTCTGAGCACAGGGAACAAATGGTCTCTGGCTGAAAAATTTACCACCCTGAAGTATAGTTCATTGATATGTTGGTCCAGACCTTCTTAGGGTCCATCCTATTCCCACTGAATTTGCAATAGAATACATGTGCCCAACGTTGTTAAATCTTCCAATAATTCCACAATGCACAAGGCCAGCTTTCATAAAGCGTGGGCTGGAATTTTGGGCCCCATTGAAATCAGTGGCAAAAGTTAGCTTCAATGGGGTCAGGATTTCATTCGTGGTATTGATTCAGCTGCTCTCTTTAAATACAACAGTTTCCAGGTTGTTTCTACAGAAAGTCAACGTCAAGTGTGTTTATTTTTTTAAATGACGTGATTTTTTACAAAAGTAAATATCAGAATGCCTTTAAATTTCCACAGGCAATCTAGGAAGTCGGTCAGCAGTCTTGTCTGTGTTTCACATATTTTTCATATCTATTCAATGGTTATCTACTGCATGAAAGTTGGGCTAGGGCTATTTTCCCTATTTCTGTACATGGCCAGGAGGTGGCATTCATGGCTAACAGTTACAGCAACCAGAATACTCTCTTTGCATACAAGGAGGGAGAAGAGGGTTTCTTAGTATGGCAGCTCAAATTTCTCAATTAACCACAATGCCTAAATTAACGCAATAAATTTGATTTATGCATTCATTGTTTTGTTAGGAGTGGTAGAGTTATCCAGTAGTAGCCATTAATCTTCATAATGTGACAACAGGGACCTGACAAGCTTCATTTATCTTCCTGTGAAGTATTTGATAGTCAGAGTCCTTGTCTTCAGCTCTATCATTTTGTTCTTCACAATAAACCAGTTTCCAATAATTGTTCAGAACAGTTAGGAAATTTAAGAAAAAAATTGAATTTTATCTGGTCAATGAATCTTAATGAGATTTTTCAAAGTCTGATCATTCCGGTTTGTGATTGTCAGTCTGTGGAGTATTGCCATATTTAACATCTGTGACACATCATGCCTTTCCTGTTGCCTCATTTATCGACAACATGTGATGATTCCCAGATGTTCAAACATGGCAGATCCCAAAAGACCTATGAAATTACACTGAAAACAAAACAACATCCTTGCTATAAAAGTTTTGTTAAAACTAGGTATGTCTGAATATTCACAAGCTTGCTACAAAGTACTTACTTATTGATATTTAAATTGCTGTTAACCATTGGTCACATTGTTTGAAATGTCCACGCTGTGTTAAAGACTCACTGTAACAAGAGTGGATACAACTTGCTGCTCTGCTATGTGAAGTTAAAATGGAATTGGGCATGTATTTATACAAGAAGAAGTTAAGCCACCCGATTTATTTACTGTTTTTTACATACAATACAGATGTGTGCTTTTTAGATTTTTACTCATATTTCCTGCTGATTATGTTTCTACCTGCTAAAGCTGAATAAATCATTCTGAAAGAAGCTTGCACACCGCATCCTGTAAGCAAGGCAAAGTAGCACATGTTGTTCTTCACTGCATCCTTTTTCCACTGGAAAGTTTTATTTTCTTCATTGTGCAGACAAGAACTTTCAAAGGTGATATTTAAAGTTCTGTCCTGTAACTGCAGAGCAGTGACATGAAATTCTGAATTGGATTTCAAAGAGTACATGTGATCCAGTTCACACCACAGTGTTTTGCTTCAAAGGACTCATCAGCAGATACAGTGCAGTACTTCCAACAAAGAATCCTTGACACATCCAGAAGCTGGCATTAGTCTCCCTGTGACACTGCAGTTTCAGATTTCTCCCAGGCTGTGGCATTGTCAACAACGAGAATTTCAGTATTTTGAAATGAACAGAGTCAGCTCTGTGCAAAACTGGGTAGCTGTATTTTGACATGTGAAATAGCAGCACAGAACTCAGGAACAAATTTCTGAAGGTAGGGCAGCATTTTTGCCCATTATCACATCAATTCATTTTAAGTTTTTTTGCCTCATTCTTTTGTAGGAAAACACAACTCCGTTAGAAAGGCCAGTAAAAAAAGTGGAGTCTGTTTGGGCATTCATGTCTTTATTCTAAATTACACAGATAACTCATTTCTGTTAAACAGTGTAGAGCTGTCTGTGAACACTGACTTCCTGGATACATATTAATAGTAACAATTATTATTTTTACTGCTATCAGAAGCAATATAGGCACCTAAAAGTCACAAGACCTCCAACCAGGACCTGTTCAGGTATCCATATTGTATACTCTGCAAGACCAGCATTGCAGGTTTTTTTACAAGCTGCAGCATAACTGAGCAGCACACACAGAAGAAAAAGCTGTTGTGTCCTCTTCAAGATTAGAATACCTATTTATAGTATACAAACATGTAACTTTAAAAATATCTGTCTAGATTTTAAGTTAATCTAAGTTGTTTATATGCCTTTTAGAAAGAAACGTGTAATTGAACCATATTTATTAACTAATGGCATAAAACCTAACATGCTTTCTTCTTTTGTTGACACTTACAGAACAAGGAATTTAAAAATGAGGATAGAAAGTATCCACAGAATCATGGAGATGCGTGTAGAAAACAAATACAGGAAGGGGATGAGACGAAAAGCAAAGATGTGGTAAGGCAATACATGGAAATTCTGCTTGAGAAGAACAAACACAAATGCCAAAAATAATTCACTAGCTACATTTAGTTAGAAGATCTGGAGAGAAAACATAAGCATCCAAAACAAATGAAGCAGGTTAGCCAGAGTGTCTACCGGCCCCAGTCCTGCTCCAACTGCCAGCAGTGTCCATATGGAACAGGAAGCTTTCCAAATTCTGGCCAGTGCTGGCTGTATAGAGAAGACTATCAGCTTTTTTTTTCCATTTTCTGTGAAATATACATTGAAGTGCAAAGCCACTTCACCTGAATCAGTGTGTCTGCACTACAAGTGCTATGATACGCAGAATTACTTATGATCTGGAAGCAAAATCCTACTGTTAGTCTGCTCCTCCCATACCTATACATGCACACATTTTCTTAACTCCTTTTTGTTGTTATTTTGTTTTAAATATTTCTTTTTCATCTAAGTATGAGAAAAAGTGCACTAAAATAGGCTCATGAAGCATCCTTACTGTCTTTGGCATTTTTAGCAGAGGGATTGAAGTAATATTGAAAGCATTAGTTTCCTAGTGTCACCTCCCAGGTTTGCTGTTGCAGGACTTGCCACTGAAGAGGTAGTTGGGATCACAGAATCATAGAATTATAGAATCATAGAATGGCTTGGGTTGGAAGAGACCTCAAGGATCATCAAGCTCCAACTCCTCTGCCGCAGGCGGGGCTGCCAAGCTCCATATCTAATACCAGACCAGGCTGCCCAGGATCAATTTCCTTAAGTGTTGTAGTCCTTTGGATTTCACTCTAGAACACTGAGCTATGTATTACTTCACTTAATTGCCAATACTCTGCAGGAAGGTCAGTTCAGTTCAAGATTATCCTCTTTCTATGCCTGTGGAACCAAATGAAGTTCTCACATGTTCAGAATAGGACACAATCTTATACTCAAGCAAAATTAATTTTCAAGCCTTCTGCAAGTCCCCTCTAGCATTTTTTTCTTTCAATTATCAAGTTCTGCTTGGTCCATTGCCTTTAGGTGTTTCATACAAAAGATTGTATGTTGTCTTTGTCACACCCAAGTTCAGGGAGCAGTAGTGTTCACTTTACACTCCCCTTGCTTTTCCTTCATGGGAATGCTAGCTTGGTGCTACTTAGCTTGGTGTTGATTCCAAGAGATGTCATATTTACCTTCTGTCTTCTTCCTTCTTATCAGATGCTAAGTAGGTTGGAAGGAGGAGCCAACAGATAGTTTTTGTACTGTAACAGAGTTACCAAGGTAGACTGGCTCAAAAAATTCTCCTACATGTTCTACTGGATCTTATAACTTGGTGAAAAATGGTATACTTCAGATGTACCATTCTATGAAAATCAGACTTGCCCAACCATGCCAGTGAGCTCCACTAATGCCATACCTGCTACTTAGACTTGGGGTAATCCATCTTTGCAATACAAACTGTTTTTTAAATATATATATATATATTTATTTTGCTTTCCTCCTCCAGTGCCAGTATTTTGAAGATAAATGATGGGAAATTAGACTTCTTCAACATGTAGATAATTCATAAATAATTCTAATTTATTTTTCTATTATAAATCCAGAAATTAGGGTTGCTAATTTCTAATTAAATTACAAATGAAGCTTCATTTGTGGGTTTCTCACAGGTTTCTCTCAATGACCCTGGTTTGGTAAGCAGTAACATGGTTGTTCAATAGGCTCTTTTCCCCTCGAGCTATTCTTGTCCTGTATCAGACGAACACATCCAAAGTCTCCTTCCAATGTCACATGTAAAAAAATATTGCCAGGTAAGTGAATGCACAGTAGCTTGTTTTGAATATTTAAGTCTTATGGAATAAGTGTTTTACCTATAGTCAGTGTGGCCTGGAATCAAATCCCATGAAACTTCATCAACAACTCATCTTTCTCCCCTTTTTGATGTTTTCTTTGGTGGCAGTAAATACTGAAGACCCAGATCAAATTTAACTATCAGATTTCTCATATTTTTTAAGAGACGTTCAAGTGAACATGGATGTGATTGGCTTCAGGTTGCAAGTAATATCAATTGCCAAGCTGTCTCTAGATCTTTTTAAAAAATACTACCAGTTCTTATTTTACTCAAAACCCTATACTTCACATGGCTACTGTCGCAGTTTCAACTCTTAAAACTTCTTCATTGGAAACCAAATGCCTGTAAGGTTGTTTGCTTTTACCAGAATCATTTTCAGAGGAACTTCTGCAGGCTGGGTTTCTTATAAAGTAATAGCCACACTGAAATCCAAGTGAATTATGAATGCATCTGCTTATCCAGATACCTGTGTTGCTTGAATTTCACAGGACCAATTTCCAAGCCCAATTCTACCACATAAGCAGCCAGCACATATTTTCCAGTCACCACTGTGATTCAAATCCAGATAGGAGTTCTCGATTTGTACAGAGTTCACCATCCTTTTTAAAACAACAATGTGTTGAAGCATAATCTGTAGTTTTCAAGTTCTTTGAAATTTCCGGAATGGGATTGCAGTTGTTAAAATGCCTACAGATCTAGAACTCTCCCCCCAAAGGCCCTGTTTCCCAGGCTCTGCAAAGTATTCTTTCACCATGCTAGTGTAGTACTATACTCTGACCTGTCTTTGGTTTATAACAGTTCTTTTTAACAGAAGTTTTCTACTATGTCAGCATTTAGCTGTACCACTTCCTGGAGTTTCTATTTTATTTATGATTTCCCTCATTTTACAGATTGGATTAGCAACTTTCCCAAAAACATAAAGAATGTTATCCAGCAAATCACAGCCCCTTTTCCCATGACGTATAGCCATCTGTGGTTATAAAGCCCTTAGATATTGCTTATCCAGTCTGTATTACTGGCTACAAGCTACAACTTCTGCTTATATCTGAGCAGAACACCAGCCTGTTTCAGAGAGTCTCTACCGAATCATTAACACCTGGGCCACTCAAGTTGGATTTTAATTAATTTTTCACCCTGTCTGTATCATCATGCAATCAGCCTATGAACTTGGATTTCCACAGGGCATTTCCCACTTGCAGATTCTTGTATCACTTCAGCAGAAACAACACACGCCCTACCCTAGTGTAATGCTGGATGAAAAGAGGGAACTGTAACCATATTGCCTTACTCAAGTTTTTATCTAACCCAATTTTACAGCTAACAGCTGCAGTGACTATAATCCATCGATTCTCCTGCATGGTCTCTTGTTTTAAGTTCCTTCCTTCCTTCCTTCCTTCTGGTCCCCCCTTTCTTCCAGCCAAAGATTAGCCAGAGCTTTCTCCTGATTCCATGGTACGCTCAGAGTTTGCTTTAATACAATGTACAAAACTTCAATTTCTCAGTTCAGGCCTTTTTTTCCTCCCTTCTCAGCACCTCCGGCTCCCTCAAAACAGCTCACTTCATTTCTGCCAGCTGTGACCTCTCCAAATTACTCACTAATTCACGCCGTACCTGATCTGGCCTGGGCAGTGAGCACCGTGCTGCGTTTTGATTAGAAAGGAAACTTGGTGCTGAAATCAGGTGCCTGTGGTGTAATCACGTTACCGTGTAATGAGGCTGAAAGCGCTCCTTCCCTCCCCACTAAGTGCCATCAGGCAGCACGATGACTGCAGATTTCTTTCAAGTATTACTCAGTCCAAAAACCTGAGAGGACTTTCCCTTACCATTTGTCTTCCATACGGGGTTAACTGGTTATCCTCATCGCTTTCTCTTTTGTTGCTTTTGCCTCTTGGATACAAAGTCCCTTCTGTACAATAGCAGCCAGTAGGAGTTCCTTAACTCAGGGACAAGTCTGCCTTGATACTTGTATCAGGGGTATGTAATTGTTGCAGGTAGGACAGCGATTCCTTACTCCAATTTATAATAGGACAATTACCCTGATTCTTTTTTCTTTTTTACTTTTTTTTTTTTCCCTTTATTATTATTTCCTTGTCCTCATTGCTATTATAAGGAGGTCCCTGGAGGTTTTCAAGGAAAGAGTAGATGTGGCACTGAGACACAGGTTAGCGGGCATGGCGTGATGGGCTGATGGTTGGACTAGATGACCTTAGTGGTCTTTTCCAACCTTAACGATTCCATGAGTCTGTGAGCTAATTGTAGCATGCTCTGCAAACAACTCGCTCACCCAGGCCAGTGAAACCTGCAGGCTGCCAGTGAGAGCTCTGTGGTCCTGCAAGCAGCCAGGGTTCTCTCTCAGCACTTCCCAGCTCCATCACTGCCAAGTGACCTCACGGCCCAGTGCCAGTGCTTTGCTGGGGGGCACAACCACCCCTACCTATGGGTGCTGACCCACAACCACACGTGTGCAATCGCTTCATCCCACAGCAACCAAGCACACAGCTGAGCCACCCATCTGCGCGGCTCTCCTGGCCTTCCTGCTGCTCCTTTAAAAATAATAACAATAATTAAAAAACAGCCAAGCCACAGAGTGCGTTTATTCTGCTGTACAGCCCCAAGCAGGCACGCTCTGGACAGCTGTGATAGCTTTCACGCGCTAAGAGCATCCATTTCATTAAGATGCCGTGTAGCACTGAGACCTACAAAGAGGAAAGCAGGCCCAGCCGGACAGCAGGCAGCCGGACCCCGCACCGCTCAGCCCCGCAGCGCCGCCACCCCCGCGCCGCTCAACGCTGCGCCCCCCCGGCAGCGCAGTGCGGGCCGAGCCCACCGGCTCTGCGGTCTTCACGCAACACCGTGGCGTAGGCGTCTTCGAGCGCTCAATTTGCATAGTCCTTCGCGCGCGTCCAATGGGCGGGTGACTCCGGCTGTGTCATTTGCATGGGCACGAACGGCGGCCAATGGGGTGGCACCGCCGAGCCCGTTCGGAACGCGATGTTTCCACCCGCGCGGGGCTCCGGGGCCGGCGGTGCGGGTGACACAGCGAGAGGCCGCGGATCGCCGTCCGGAGCCGCCACCCGCCGGCAGCCGCCTCGGGGTACGGGCTCCGCGGGGAGCCGCCCGCGGCGGGAGGATGTCCGTGGCGGGGCTCAAGAAGCAGTTTCACAAAGCCAGCCAGGTAAGGGAGCGGCGGCGGCGGGCTGGGCTCGGAGGAGCGGCTCCCTCGGGTTCTCTCTGTTGTGTGGGTTCTGGCATCGCCGCCCCGGGGCGCGTCCTTTGGTTGCGGGGCGGCAGCTGCACCGCCGGCCCCATCTCGCTGCGTGCCCCGCAGCCGGCCGAGGGGAGCGTGCGAGGCGGGCGGCCCCTGCCCTCCCATCTCCTGGGGTCCGGCTCTTCGCTTCCAATTATTGCTTTTGTTACTGGCATTTCTTTCGTGGTGGTTCTGGGTTTGTGCCCCGTGGCCTCAGTTAAAGACGGGGCTGTGAGGTACCAGCCGTCCCCACAGAGTTCGTTGTTGTCCTCTCCGACCGACTCCCGCTGTTTCCCTACCTGGCATACCACGCATCTGTCCTATAGGGGGTACCCTGCGTTTCTAGAGTTTTCCCTCCTTCTCTGGATGCTGTACTCAAATCTTTTCCCGAGCCTTTACCTTCTCTCCGTTCTCCCGGTGCAGCTTTCCCACTTTCCCTTCCCGCAGTGCTGCACAGTGGGGTTCTCCACTGGAGGAGTTTGCGAGTTCCCCAGAGATCTGCCCTCCTGCCGCCTCTCCTTAATGATGATGGCAATACTGACATGAGTTCTGTAACCTGTTCGGCCAAGCTGACAGCTGCTCCTGCTTGGAGCCCAGGAAATAAAGGCTTGGAGCCACTGAGCTGCTTTTCTGCAGGTCCTGCAGTGGGTAGCTGGGGTCTCTCCAGCCCAAATATGGCTTTGGTTGGATATTGACACGCTGAGTAATTGTATCTAGCATTTAGTGTCAGTAGTGTTATTTCTTCTGTGCTCTGTATCAAAATCAAGGAAAGCCATGCACCTAGCTATTTAGTCAACTTTCACTGCCTCCTTGCAAAAATGAGAGCTCTCTGGGTAAACAAACCCAAGGACAGCTTAGCAAAGGCTTTGGTTTGTTTTGCACCACCGTACTGTATATGGTGCAGCCTTTGCTGTGCAGAGTTGGTAACACAGATGGTATTTTAGTGCGGAAGTTAAAGAGGTAACCACAACAAATGCTTCCAGTCTGACGGCTGCCAACAGTGTGGCAGGTTGCTTAATCTGGGCACGTACACGTAGCAAAGAACTAAATAACCGAGGGGGAAGCTGGAGAAGGTAGCACTGGTGGCAGAATGGAACAGAAGGATATACTGAACTTGCCTGAGTATTTCCTGAAATGCTGTAGTATGTCCTCCAATGTTCATTACAGTAGGAAACTGGGATGCATAAGTCTAATATTTGATAACGGTCTTCATCTTAGGCCAAATGTAAAGTTTCCTTTCATTGTCAAATGAAGAAGTGAGTACGCAATTTAAAGGAAGCGGATCTGAATAGCATCTTCTTCAAGAAGGAAATGTTCCTTAGTAGAAAATGTTCATGCAGGAAAAAAGCCGATATTGGACTGGATTTTTTTGGTGCTTAAGAAAACACAGTGCACTTCTTAGGACTTCCTTCTGGAAGATTTCAGATCAGACATTGAGCAAAATAGTATAAAAATATGTAAGTACATAGAAAACAATTGTGGAAAGTAGCAGAAAATGGGATGGTAAGGGCACACGTAATAGAAATATCAGTACTCCATCTTTTAGCTTAATTCTTTTGCACGATGCTAAAACAAGCAAGTGCAGATATCTCTCAGCAGGATGTTTTATGGATCTCTTAAGTACTCTAGGATCACTTAAGGAGGTGTATACATTTGTGTATTGAAAGGCTGAGAGATGCCAAGGGTAACTACTAACTGCAGACACAGGCACGGCTTGGGGAGAAAATGAAATTAATTCCTTGCTTTAGTGTTCCCAAAGGAGAATGGGGGCAGATGACAAAACTGGCAAATTTCCCAGAGGATGCTGAGGAATACTGAGGGGAATGCGAATTGTGCCAGGACATGTGATTGAAGGAGAATATTTGAAGGTTGGCAGAACCTAGAGACAAAAAAAGTCTGAAGGATGAAGCAAGTGGGGTAAGACGGTCTGTATTTAACAAGTTAATTTTAAAATGTGAGTAAATATCAAAGAAGTGACAAGATCTCTATATTTTCAGAAGAAAATATTTCCATGTTACAACGGATGTCTATTCAACAGAAATAATCCACAGTTCCAACTGATCTATAGACTGATGTAGATCTAGAGTTATAGACCACACAATTATAGAATAAATTCTAACACATCATTTGGTGTAGCATTTCTAACAGCCACTCATTTATTGCAGAACTGTTTGGTTTTCGTTGTTGTTGTTTTCTTCGGGGAAATACATTTTCTGTATGTCTTGCTTTAGACTCTGGGGTAAAAAAGGAACCAATACTTTTGATTCTATCTGTACAGTTGAGGTTTATTGCTTTATTCCTTCTGGGATGTTTGTCTGATGCATGCCAACGTGGTTTACACTGCTGAGTAAATAGGTGTTCACTTCAAGAAAAAGTTCAGCAGTCACCTTTGTATGGCTCCTAAAGCCCTCACCCAAACTCAGATGTGACGTGCTGTTACGTCCTTGCTGTCCTAAAAAGTCCCCATATGTCCATGTTTGCAATCCATAAACTCACAACAGGAGTTCTTTATGGTGTGTGTGTGTAGGTTTTCACCTGTTTGGGGGCAGGGGTTGGAAGGCAGCTCTGAGTCATGGGTGTTTGTTTGCATTGCTGCAGTAATGTTTGGGCTGTTTGTCTGTGCACTGCAATACCCAATTGCACTCCAGACTCTCTACCTTACTAATTGCTTCATCAGGGGATGCAGAAGTGATAGACCCAAGTCAAGCTGTGTGTCTGTGGCATAACAGATAATAGCTTTTAGGAATGCTAGAAATAGCTTTACTGTGCTTATTACGTAGACTGTAAGTTTGAATTGAAATATTCAAGGCAAAGTATTTTCAAATAGATTTTTTTTTTTTTTTTTTTTTTAATTAGCCTCAGGGAGTGCTGTTCTCAATGGAAAATTTGCCTCCTGTCACTTTCAGATGCTGACATATCTGTTTTCCTGTTGTCGATGTGCAGCCTTTGATGCAGGTGGGTGGATCTCCGTGCGGCTGTGCACGTGGCACAGCACAGGCAGTGGGAGGCTGTGCCTTCTGATGCTCACCAGGAATATTTTTAGAGAGCCGTTCTGTTTAGAAAAACTGTAAGTACAGTGTGTGGATAGCATGGCCTTCCTAGTCAGCAGGTGCTGCTGTAGCTTCTGCTGTGTTCTATCAGTTCAGCCCGGCTGGCATCTCAGTGCTGTGATGTTGGTCCCTTTCATAGCAGGAGGCTGGGTGTTGGGAGCCTCCCTTCCCTTAGTTGTTCTGAGTGCTCAGCCATGATACGGCTGTAAGAAATCTGCTGGTGACTTTAAATTCATGTTTTTTGTCTTTTTTTAATTAGCTGTGTTAGAGGTATGTCTATGGCAGCAGGTCAGTATCAACAGATTATTCACAGTGTATTTCTTAGGCTTGGCTCCTCAGAGGCTGTAGAAAACATTCTTTTTAATGAAACATAGGACTGCAGTTATTGTGAATATCTTATTTGCAATGTAAGCATAAGCAGTGATTGTCAATGAATGCAGATTGGCTTCTTAAACCCTTTCTAACTGCCAGTGAAGAAAAAAAGGACAAAGCTATTCAGGTGTTGGGGCTCTTCTGCCTATAGATGAGCATAAACATGAACAGGTTTTCTAAGCAAAGCTGAGTTAGTACAACATTTTTTACTTCTGAAAGTGGTTTAGCTTATATGCTCTGGGCACTCTTGTATTGTCCTGAATGGCATTTGTCTTTTCAAGTAGTGCATCTGTCATCTGTTTGTAGCAATGTTTTTGAAGGCCTTTTTCTATTGTGTGTGCTTGGCTTTTGTTCCTTGGCTTTTGGTTCTCACCAGCAGTTACAAGGATGCTTGTTCTCCCCCAGATTTCTGCTGTTACTCTGTTGATTTATGTGGCATGTTGATCCAATCTCCTGGATTGAAAACCAGATCAGAATGGAAACCTTATTACCCACACAGAATAAATCTTGCTGATTGGGTTCTGTTTGCTTTGCTTTCCTGACAAAATAAAGTTTAAAAAAAAAAGTGCTAAGTCACATCTTGAACCAGTGATTGAGCACCTGGTGGGAAGGCAGGGTCCAACCCATGGGAGGTGTATCTTGCTGGAGGTCCCTGCATACTTGAAAGGCCTCAGGTGTGAGGCCTTTCAAGGGAGAGCAAATATTCTTCCTTCATTTTTGTGTCCTTAGATGCTGTGTTCGAGCTTGTCTTCATTTTGCAGCAGCCTGGGACTTTGCCACCCCACAAAGTGGGGTTACACAAGTGGTTGCAAAGAAACTTTAAATACTTCGGTAAACTGAGGGAGAGACAGACTTTGCACGAAGAAAACCTGAACTTGCCATTGAGACACCAAAAGGCAGCCTTTACTAACTATTGACTGGTTCATGCAAATCTATTTCTGTCCTGTAACTGGAAGCTGTTACCATCCAACTGTGAGAGATACTGTTCCTTCACATCTGACTTGAATTGGGTACAATAAATCCAGGACTTCAGCAGGGAGACCTTCTATCCTGTTCCTAGACTTTACTACATAGTTTGAGGTACTTGTTTGCAAATCTGTTAGAATAATAGGGGCAGGAGAGTGGAGAATAGACATTGTGTTCATTGTCGGAGATGTTTTGAAGTGGATAATTCTAATTCCTCTACATGGTTTACAAAGCAGAATTAATCCTTAACCAATGGCAGGGACAACAAAATGACATTCCTCTATCTTCTATGTACATGAAGATATCACACTGGTCACTGTTGCTCATCTTTACCTGTGTTGTGGCTGGAGACTCCTGTTATGCAATCGGGTAATTACAAAACTGTACTGCAGCTGATGATGCACTGCTCATCTTGTATTCCTGAAATGATGAGAGGAGAGGCTGAGGATTTACGTAAGTTTCTGAAGTCTTGTTTGAGGATGGAGTTCTTGCTGGGGTATTCTTCTGTTGTTGATTGATTTTCCAGGACCAGAGTACGGG